AGTCATGATTTATCTGAAATGTGTACATACTGTGTTTATTACTCTCTCCTCAACATCATGAGAACAGTGTACAAATTCTGAGCACATGACTACAGAGTAATGTGGTAACAGTGATGTTTCTTAATGCTTACTGTCAACAATCAACCATCCATTATGTGTGTAAAGAAACCACATCTAACTAATATTGAAAACTACAGAAAACTGAGGGAATTGTGAATGTTTACACAGACCCTAAGCATTAAGTGTGCTTGCTCATCTGACCTTCTCTGCTGACATATTTCAAAACACCTTTCTCAAACATTATTTTCTTAAACCTTTAGGTCATCATTTCACTTATCAATACTTTAAACACAGAAGTTGTGTTTGAACCATGTTAGTACTATCATAGTTTATAGTACCATAGTTAGTACAATGTAATGTGTCAAACTCCTGGACATGCTGAATCCCAATTATTTTTGTGGAGCAGCTGCTAGGAAGTACTCACTGTTCTGGGCCCAGGTACATTATAAGAAACTACTCAGGGTTAAGGGGAGGGAAAGAAGATGGGTTCCTAAGAACATGGGGCATGAGGAAAGTCAGGTCAGCATGCTTTGCCATTGACAGCATTTCCTGGGAACGCACCAGGGACCTGGGGCTGTCTGTCATATAGCCCATCAGGTTTTGGAGAACACCCCAGAGCCCAGTCAAGATTCACACACCACACACACCAAGCAGGGCTATACACTTCAGGAGTTCAGGCATGAGGACGATGTGTGCACAGCTCCCCGTGACTCACATCTACTGAGGACATCTTCTGGCAGCAGAGCCAAAATCACTGCCTAGAAGACCATGGACAAATTTTGGTCTCAAAGTTGGGAACAGTTGTTTCTCCTGGGAATGCTTAATTATTTGGGTTTAAGATATCATTAATCATCAAACAATGAACACAGTTCCCTTTCAGACTGTTCATTAAATAAAAATCTGTTTCTATAACACCTACCGCGATGGATCTTGTAGAATTCATCTGTATCCTAACAGCCCTCTTCCCTTTTATTCCCTGTACCTCATTTCACTCCTGCCATGCTTTCCTTTCCTGTGTTGTGTATTGTGGTCCATCTGGAATGGGGGATGTTATCAACAGTCTCTGGTTTATAAAGATGCAGAGAGCTTAGAAATAATCCAGTTCTATCTGGTGTATTTCACAGTTGAGAAACCCCAGGTCCCAGTGGCTATCATTTCAAAGTCTGGCTGCAAGGCAGCGATCCTAAAAGGAGCTTATGATTTTTTAGTTAGCATACAGTTGCCTCCACATTGAGAGACTCTCTTCTCTCTCCTGTTCCTAAGATGGCACCATCCAAGAGACACCTCTAGACTTCTCTAGTCTATGTCTTACGTCAGAGAGTCACAAGAAAATTCTGAGAAGTCTTATAACAAGTAAACCAACTTAATCCTCTCTAAATTATATCTGCAAAACGTATCTGATTATAAACTAAAAACTTCTCTCTTTTCTTTTGGGGATATGGTTGGAAGCTACATCTATTAAGACTCCTTGGAACACACCTTGGGAGGTTCTGGGTTAAGATGAGATCCCAGGAATCAGGTGGAGGAGAAAGATGGCCACATGTCCCTCTCCTGACATATCTGCCTCTGTGGGCTGGGTGTGCTTTTGAAGGTGACATCACACTGTTCCAAGGACCTCAATCTCCCAGCAGTGGAGAGGGTACTGGGCTTGCTAGAAATTCTGTGCAGACCCCTGTGGTACTCTGCACCAGGAAGGCCATGAAGAAAATGTCTGGAATTTTGTTTTTTAATGATCATTATCTTTTGCTCACTTTAGGCGGGAGGAAATTATAAATTATTTTTCTACAGAGGTAAAAACAGTCAGACAAAGGTTGCTTGTTTCCAAGTGTGTGGCTCTATGGAGGTGACTGCACGTTTATAGATGCAAAGGAAGGGAGAGCTTAGCAAGCTCTGGGATGGTCCAGCGGGCCCCTGTGGTGGGCGGGCACATGGCACCCTAAGCCCAGATTCCACAGTTGTTGATGGATGACAGTGTTGACTCTGCTCAAGTCACTCAGGTTCTTAGCCTCTCTGAACTTCTGTTTCATCTTCAGTCAAATGGGTATCCTAATAATCAAATATGGTAGCTATGTAGATTTCAGTTTAAGACCTCAGTGCTTGCCCCCTGCCCCATGCTGCCCTTTCCAGGAGCCACGATGTGTCTGTTAAAGGAGAATGCACCATTCAAACTTGGTTGTATCTTCCCTTCATACACATTTCTGTTCACAGTGGACAAGGATGACTTACACCAACGGTCACACAAGACCCTTAGTCTCCTCCCTTCAGTACAACTGTAGCTAACCTGTTAATACTGGCTCCTCCAATGATTTTGTTGCCTGGGAGCTCCTACCCCTGTCCCTTTTGATGAGTTCTACTCCCAGGTATGAGAAGCTAGGTGTCAACAGTGGCAATGCTGAGGTCAGGAGAACAGTGGCACTGGGGGTTTCAGACTCAAGAGAAACAGATGTGTTTCTCTCGGATGCCACGGATACCATCATGATGGGCCACCAGGTCCTCTCTAGACAGCCTTGCCATCTAAGCAGCACCTCCACATGCCTCCTGACAAAGGCAGGAGCAGCAGAGGACGCAGCTCTCTAAGGTGCCTCTTACAATGGCATATTCTACCCCGTGCCCCAGAAATCCTTTACTCAATTGTTAAGAACAACAAAATTTGTTATCAAAAGCAGGTAAACTAAAATGTATCAACTGGAAACAAGGAAGTTATTTTTCTTGCTTTCTTTGTTATTAGGTCCCAAACACTGTCATATTAATGTACTCCTCTATTTTTTGTCTAAGTTTATTTATCATCATTATCTAATACTGTGGTTTATAATTCTGAGGATTGAATGTAGGTCCCAGGCACACGAGGCATATATGCTATTACTGAGCTTCAGTTCCTGCCCTCTTTCTACATATTATAACCACAAAATAAGAAAATTATTAAAAATATATGATTTAGAAAAAGAAATACAAACACATCTTTAAAAGAATTATCACCAAATACTGACAAGTTTCAAAACAACAAAACAAATAATTTGCATGAGTCATGTCACCAGTGGCCAAGTAAAAGATGGGCCTTACCTGTGTGAGACGACTCTTTACATAGGTGACCTCAAAAAGTCCTGGAAGGCTTGCAGTGATCTAAGCACCCAACACTATCAGAACTGCACATTTCGAGGTCTCCTGATTTAAAGAGTGCAGCAGGTAGGAAATATTCAAGGGGGTATTCTTCTAGATATAAGTCAGGGCTGGGGAATGAGAACAGTCATTGCAAGCTTGAGAACAAGCTCTAAGTTTGGGCCTGGCCTCATCTCAAGTCTGTATTTCTGCCTCGGCAGTGTCCAGTCCAGACTACAGAGGCATGGACCATTTCCTTCTACAGTTGGCGCCTTCACGGTTTTGCACTGTCGGGGGCACTCTCCCCATGCACCTCTTACTCTCTTCACACATTTAAATGTGCTTATTCTCTTATATTGGGGGCACATAATTGTTTCCACACGCTTCAGGGTAACATCACTGGCCACGATTGAAGAGGGGCAACATCAAAGGCTGTCTGAACATGCTGGAAGTCTTTCTAAATTTCTAGGACTGCAATTCTCGATGCTGCAGTGTTGAGATGGGTACACTGCTCCCATAAGAACCTTTTTATGTAATACATGCATAATGCAGTGCGAAGAAAGGAATGGAGGAAAACGATTCCCCAAATTATAACTTGCATCTTGGTAATGAGAAGCTATTAAAATATATTTTAAAAAAAGCCCCTAAGCTGATGTGTTTCTTAGAATCCTGAGGTTTCCCACTGATCTGCTATTTTCCCATTCCGTATGCACAGCAGAGATTCCTGCCAAGACTATTACAGTGAGCAAACAATGTACTCTCTGTCAGAGCAGGCGATGAATAGTATCACAAAATTCTCTAATGCACAGCCTGCAATCCCCCACAAGTCTTCAGAGGAGACGAGCCAGGCAGGGGGAGGACAGAACAGGGCTCTTCCCTTGCCAATCTGAAGCTGCTTTCCAGAACAGCAAGGGTGGACTATCTAACTAGAGAAAGTTGACAAGCACATTTTAATTCCGGTTGTGTATTGCTTCATCCCTGGGATATGAGTACACAGATACTTTTGTAAAGAAAAAGGAGGAAGTGCTTCGTCATGTAAAACCTCAGGGCATGGTGAGTTTGCTACAAACTAAACAGCAACAGAGGAACTTCATAGAAGTTTGTGTTTAGATACTAGGGGCTGAGTCACAAGTGCCAAAGTGAGTATGGGCTCCATTGCTTCCCAAGCTTAGCCTTGGTGCAGGCTAAGCTCTTGACTCATAGAGGAGGGGCCTGTCATTGTCTATGCCCCTGGATACGTAACACAAGGCTGGCCCACTCCTCTTGGATCCCAAGGAGTGTCTATGTCTCCCCCTCCACGGCTTCTCTTTAGAAGAGGCATTAAGTACATGATCTTCCAAAATGAGACATTTAGAAAACATTTCTCATGAATCAATGAAAGGCTTACTTTGTGTGCATTTTCAGAAAAGAGCAGAGATTTCTGAAAACTTTTCTTATTTGTTGTCTTAGTTGGTGCAAAGTATAACGGGCTAGGACCCCCTGCCCCTGTATGATATGTACAGAACACATACTTTATCTGACCTTTAATTAGAATCACTCAACTCTTTCATCATAAAGGAATGAATGTTATTTTCAGTCTAAACACACAGCCCTGCTCCCCGCCCTCTTTTCCCACACACTTGCTGACCAGTGCCACGATCTCCCAGGGTGAGATGGTGTTCTCTTGGTGACACATTTAGTGAGACTGCAGGAAGCAGCGAAAGCCTCCCTTTCTTCTCTTTCCCCCCTTTGACTCACACGGCCCTAGTCTGCACTGGGTTAGACAATCAAACCTCTGTGCAGTCCCACTGCCATCTGAAAATGCTAACCACGTGCTCCCTTCTTCCTACAATGGCAATATTTACCTTGGAGAAATGGTTGTCCAAAAAAGAACTTCTACGTTCTGGTAATGTGTTCCGTTCAGATGTTGTTATAGGAGATTCCCTCTCCTTTCTTGGCCTGAAACCAAAAAGAAAGAATGTTGGGGGCAGGGAAGGCATATGGACAGGCTGTGAAAGACACTTGCCAGCTTACTGTAAAAACCCTGGCCTGTTTACCAGACACGGGGAGCTCTGCATTCCTCTCTAAAGAGGCTGCAGGTTTAACTTCTAAGCAGACAAATGCACCTACAGCAGGGAAGACTACTTTCCCTCTGAAATAACAGCCACGTTATTATTTGACTCAATATAAATCAATTTACTTGTTCCCCCCCAAAGTCTTCCCAGTTTGTGGCAGTAGTACAATTAAGATCAAGTGACTATTATCAACATCTGAGATAAAACACAGTATTTATGTGAAAAGAACATTCATATTTTTTGGCAAGGTAAGCTGTGACTCAATTCTGAAATTTTCTGATGGAAAGGAAGCTGTGGTGGTGTGGTGTAGACATCAATACCCGGACATGCGGATCTAATCCTTTATCATTCCATCAGCACCCCACTACGGAAATGAGAAGGATGTTCAGAAATGGAGGCGACTCCCAGGAGACTCCCTCAAGCTCCCCATTCATCGGCTCCCACATCCTGGTCTGCTCTAGTTTTGCCCAGCCCTTTCCCACCTCCCTTTCTCTTTGCTTTACATCCTGTCTTTTAACAAATCTCTTCGGCACTAAGTGTCCATTTGTATCTTTTAAAGTATTTATTGATGTACATGTGTGTGTGTGTGTGTGTGTGTGTGTGTGTGTGTGTGTGTGTGCACTCTATATCATGTGTGTGGGTGCCAGTGGAGGCGGGAAGAAGTGTTGGAGCCCCTTGAGTCGCAAGAAGTTTTGAAGAGCCAAACCTTGGTCTTCTGGGAGAGCAACAAGTACTCTTAACTGATGAGCTGCCTCTCTGGCTCCTGAACACTTGCTTCCCATGAGACACCATGCAGGGGGAGGGGAGAGGGAGAGGAGAGGGAGGAGAGGAGAGGAATGGACAAGAAGGAATGAATGTATTCTAATGAGGCTATTCCAGCTGCTGACTAAGATCTAGAACTTAATTATTTTAGCAGACTGAGGTACAAATTCTGTTTTGTTTTTTTGACATTAACATGAGCCACCCAGATTTGTATTAGCTGTTGTCCTTTTGGATACATCATAATTTTTGAGTGTTGCCCTCTTTGTCTGTAGAATTGGCATGTTATTTATATTAAGGTGCCACTATTCCTTCCCTGCCAGTTGTCAAGTGAGAAAGGCTGCCTTTTGTTTGCCAATGCATTCAGCTACATTGTTATTTTCTTATTTCTAAACGAAATCTAAAAAGATCAGAACAGGAGGCACAATCACGGGCTGTCTTCCTCTAACCCAACTCCAGGTCTCTCTCTGTCAGTCACACAAAGTGGGAGGGACAAGTTTGCACTGGATGAAGCACTCCTGGGCTAAGTGAATTCCAGATATTGTTCTACTGTTTCATTAGCTTCCAAGTCAAACCTCCTCCCAGGCTCCTGTCATGCACATGTATTTAGATGCAGATTCTAATCACCTCTTGGCTTCTCTATGTCAAGGCCCCAGCTCAGAAAACTCTTTTGAATTAGAAAGATGAGCAAGATTAATTTTCCAGGTCCAATGGCTTCAGGTCATGATTGTTTTGTTTTTGTTTTTAAATGTGAAATTCTGTCCATGCATATTGGAAATAGTATTTCAGGGCTGGGGATGCAGTTGGTGAGTTTGTGGTAGAGGACGGTGTAGCATGCTCAAAGGGCTAGGTTTAATCTCTAGTATTACACACAAATACAGTTAAAATCAAAATGCATTTTCTACTCCTAGATGTAAATGAAGACTTTGGCTTAAAAAATGAACAGTCTAGAGTGGTGCATAATTTTGCATTGTCAAAATACCTAGAGTATGAGTTAAAAATATTCCAGGGAAATAAGGAGATGGAGGCAGTGATGTTATCATAAAGGCAGATAGACGTACAGATTAAATGGGATAAAATTTACCACCTATGCAAGCAAACCCATATATTTACATTCTGTTATTTGCACGGTCAATTGCCTTTTAACAGAAGTGCCAAGACTAGTCAATGGAGAAAGAAAAATCACTTTTAGTAAACAGTGCTGGGACAGGTAGCAGCCACAGATGAAAGAAGAGAGTGGAATCCCGAACTCACATAAATTAAAGTTAAGCTGAAATGATAAATGTAAGAGGTAAAAACACAAAAACTACTATGAAAGAAAACACAGGTAAATCTCCATGAGATCAGGGGAGCTACTGATATGATGCCAAGTGTACAATCAATAAAAAATAAAAAGCTGCAAGGCTTAGAAAACATTACTCATAATAAGGATGCCATCCAAAAGAAGAGAAATAGATGCAAGCCACTTGGTTAAGGAATTGTAGTGAGAATATATAAAAACCTCCTAAAATGCAACAAGATTTCCAAATCCCAAATGAGTAAAGAGTCTGAATAGGCATTTCTCCAAAAGAAATTATGAAAGGATCAATAAAATTCACAGATGGTCAATGTCATCATCAAAGAAATGTAAGGGTAAACTACAATGAGATGCTGCCTCATACCCTCTAGCTAAAAGAGGCAGGATGTGGAGAAATTCGAACCTGCAGACCCTCTGCTAAGAGTGTAAGATGGTCATCTACTTTCCAAATAGTCTAGAAGTTCTCTGAAAGTGTTAACCATGAACTATCACCTCATCCAGCAGTTCTACTCCTAAGTACATACAAAGAGAAGCAAAACCAGAAATTCACACAAAGGTTGTGCATAACAAAGGTTCATAGCAACATGATTCATAGTAGTCAAAACCCAGAACAACCCGTGTATCCATCAACTGGTGAACATAAACAAAAATGGTAAATACATGCAGAGTATTAGTCACATACAGAATAGAATGTCATATTGGCATAGGTTCAACATGGATGTACTTTGAACACATGATAAGGGAAAGAAGTCAGCATCCCTGAATATTATGGGATCCAACTGATAAGAAACATCCAGAAAAGCTGGGTGGTAGTGGCACACACCTTTAATCTCAGCACTTAAGAGGTAGAGGCAGGCAGATCTCTGTGAGTTTGAGGCCAGCCTGGTCTACAAAGCTACATAGAAAAACTCTGTCTCAAAAAACAAAAACCAAACCAAAACAAAACACAACAACAACAACAAAAAACAGATCCAAAAAACAAAAAAACAACCAAAAAATAAAAACCAAAAACCAAAAATAATTAAAACCAAAAACCCCACAAAATGTCCAAAATAAATAAAGCTAGATGCATAGAGAAAGAGTGACTGCTTAGAGTTGCGGAAGGTGGGACGTAGACGCTGTGAAAATGTTCTACAAATGAAGCTTGTGCCACTCTATACTAATACCCATTAAACTGCATGGCTTAAATGGATGATATGCAAATTATGGCCCAATAAATCTCTTCCTAAACAGAGAAAAATATTCTAAACGATGTAGACATTGTATTTTCCCAGATCACTTTCAGAGAACTGTGGCAAACTCGCTCTGAAGGAGAGCACTGAGCTCCATGGCAAATGATCTCTGTGAGCAGCCCCGAGTAGCATGAATCCTCAAAGGCTTTGTGGTCCTTTGGGGCTCCGTTCATGTGTGTGACTACCTGTATATGTGTATACCACAGATAAGGATTGACTGGAACCAATCCTACACTTCCATCTTGTAGGATTTCAGGACTCCTGAAAGCAACGGTCTACTCATCTTTCTGCTCCTCTGCATCCGCGTCCACCAAAAGAGTCTGGAAAGATCAGCATCGTTTCCTTACACTTAACTCTGACAGCTTCCTTAGGCCTGGCAACAGGTTCTGAACACTGATAGTGACCCTTCTAAGAAGGTTCAAACAAGAGGGAGTTTATGATGTGCTTACAAAACTCACCTGAAAACTAGCTCTGCCTAAAGCCACTCAGAGCAAGGGGAATAGTTTAATTTGGGGGCCCTTGTACTTGTGGTACGAGATCTGCATTTGATAAAAGGCTTGGTCCCGCAGTAAAAGTCATCCCCGTGGTCAGACCATGGCAATGTCATCTCAGCATGGGAAATTACAACAGAACAGACAAATCAACCAATACTGAGCAAGTCTCCACTGTGGAAGAGACAGAGCGGATGTGATCAGTGGCACACTCCACCAGTGGGGCACATTTAAAGAGCCTAAATACTCCATGCTTTAGTCAAACCAGTTCAGCTTCGGGGAAGGCATGAGGATGTGTGTGAGAATGGGGGTGAGGGAAGAGGGAAGGCAGGGAGAGACTTCCTGGGATGAACACTTCCAGGTCAGTTTCTGTCTGTTTGTTTTGGTTCTCCCTGAGCAGTCAGGTCAAGTCCACTGGACACAGTGTGTCAAGAGTGGCACGGAACCCTGATTTGTGCTGCCTTCCAGAATGTTCTTCACACCGAAAGACAAAGCCCACAGCAGCTTCTTATCAGCTACATTGTCCTGCTGTATACAGCATCTTAGCTAAAACAAAATGTGACCATCCTTCCAATCTTCTGCGGCTAAGCCCGTCTCTCCTTCCTGAGCCTTTTGTGTTTGGACTGGGGTCAGGCTGCCGACACAACTTCTGTGGCAGTTCTGCGTCTCAGCTTTGGGTACAGAGTTAAAAGGCCAGGGTGTTCCTGATGCTTGGACTGTCGGCCATTTGCTATGTAGCCATCTCTCACAGTTTAAAGCGGTGTATGGAGTTTCACCCAGACAGGTTTAATGTTGACTAAGGCAGGATTAGGATAAAACTCCAAGAGCCTCTCTCCAGGAAGATACCAATTTATTAATCAGTTCCCCATGGGATATGCCTACTAAATCAGTTATTATTAATCCAGTTAATTATACACATCCCCAATTTGTCAAAATGATGAATGTCAGCAATTTGATATTTTTGGTAAAGAAAAAATCCATAAAATAATGCATACTACTTCCCATTAGTCTATTGGCATTCTGTGATAGGTTTAACAAATGAACAATAAATTAGAGATCGCCCCCTATTTTAGACAGGACACACTTCTGTCCATTCAGTTTCAAT